TGTGACATAACAAATCAGCAAATTTACAATACAATGTAATGGTAATATCAAGTTTATAGACATGGATATTTTTAAGAAGAGAAGCTCTATAGAATAAAACCGAGACGCTCTTAATAACGAAATCAAAGCGAGAATTAACGTAATAAACGTCTAAATAGATGTCACATAACAAATCAGCAAATTTACACTGAAATGTAATGGTAATATCAAATTTATAGACATGGATATTTCTAAAAGAGAAGTTCTATAGAATAAAACCGAGTCGCTTTTAATAACGAAATCAAAGCGAGAATTAACGTAATAAACGTCTAAATAGATGTGACATAAAAAATCAGCAAATTCACACTGAAATGTCATGGGAATAGCAGGTTTATAGACATGAATATGTCTACTGAAATAAACCATGTTGAGAAAAACTGAACCGATCCCAATAATGGCTGAAAGTGAGAATTAAGACGATAACGCGCTGGGAAGATAAGACATCAAATTTACATTGAAATGCCATGGGAATAATATGTTTATCGACATGAATATGTCTACAGAGAGAAGCCCTAAAAAAAACCTCAATCGATCCGAATTCTCAAAACAAAAATTAAGGTTGTAAAGCCTAAATAGATAAAACACATCATATCAGCAAATTTACACTGAAATGTCATGGGAATAACGTTTAAAGGCATGAAAGTGTCTGTGTAGGGAAACTCCAGTAAGAAAACTCCAGTCAATCCTAATAACAGCACAAAACAAGAATTAAAGCTGTATTAGTGTAAATAGATAAGTTTATAGACTTATGCAAACGCAGGGAAAGCCTAAATAGAAAAAAACTCAGACGCTCCTAATAGCTGTTCAGTACATTATCATAAGAACTTTCTATGCAAAAACCAAGACAGATAAGTCAGGAAAACAGAAAATGTAGCCATTTTGGAAGAGGCAGCGGATCGCACAACCGCCGAATATAGCAAAGAAACCGAGAAGGATGCCCTTTATACCAAATACAAAGGCGGACAAGAACAATAATACTGACGGGAATTTTTCAGAAAATAAGCGTATTGGTTCAAATAAAAGTTCCACGTCCTGGGTATGACGATAAACTACATCCGGCAGCAAGGCCGCTAATCGATTGGTTTTGATTGAATCACCTGTTAATTGCTGTTATCCCCATGCCTAACCTGACTCAGGGTGGTAGTACCAGTTAGGGTACCCGCTATGGACAAATAATTAACACCCCAAACTGGGGTCAAAACAATTTGAAAGTATAAAAATAGATCTTTATAGTAAAAATACCATTAATACATTCTTGAAAAAAATTACCAACAATAGATTTTTGTAAAAAAACAAAAAATTACCCAAGCTCCCAAAAAATTTAATTTCGGCGTTAAATGATCCTTAAGGAGTTGATATGCCGTTAAACAAACAAACAAATATATTTATTTAGAGTCTTTTTCATTAATAACACTATTATTATTTTTTTTTATTTCCTTTGATTTCTGATGTACACTCATTTCTTTCCGGATCCCAACCAGAGACCTAAGGTCAGAAATGGCATTATGACATTTTCCACCTTTCTCCCCCCGCCAAATAAAAGCAAGATCATACACATTTTACATAAATAAAGCCCTTTGTAAGTTGAAGGCTCTACTTGCGAGTACAATTTTTACAATTTGCACATTTAATATATATATATATATATATATATACATATATATATATGAAGAATTATAGTTTTAAGGTGTGCAATATATTTATGGGATAAAGTGCTCAATATCAGAGATAGAGCGTATGTAAATATAAATGTAAAAGTGAACAGTGAAGACAACACTGTTTCATGCTAGACGCAATCGTCAGGGCAGCCTGACGATTGCATCTAAGCATGAAACAGACTGCCGCCTCTGAGTGTTGACTTGAATGTTCACTTTTATACACACACACACACATATATATATATATATATATATATATATATATATATAATACTAATTCATTTGACTCTCGACAAAGACCTTCTTTACAAAAATAGGTCATTGAAACCTGATCTGCGAACTGATTTCTTACAAAGAATACATTCTGTTCACACGAACCTATCCTAAAAATCTTGTCGGCATTAAATAGCCCATTGAGGTGTCGATGTACCGTAAAAAAAAATAAACCAAACCATCAAAAAGTTCCGTCGAGAATATCTCTACAAATTTAATAATGATAATAATAAAAATCAGTTACAAAAACGCTCTGTAATAAAATTATTTGCAATGCGTTCTGTAATAAAATCAATATAAATTGATTTATATAATGAATACAATGTCCCTATTCAGTCGGAGATGGCTAATGGTAATTTTAGCCGTTTTCTCATAAGGAAACATTCGACAATCATTGAACGAACAGAGTTACTTGTTGGTGCTAATTTCTAAAATCTTTCTCTTCAAACAATTCTTACGGCAAAAAAGGTTTCTCACGTCCACTAACCGTTATCGCTCTTTCAAGTATTGATAGTGAGAAGAGGGTTCCTTCCTAACCTTTTGTTTGAAGTAGTGTGAAAAGTCAATATCTTCATTGTTATAACATTATGATTATTTTATCTCCTAGTTACATCTACCACCCATTTTAGTCGTTGCGGTTGTCAGGAGGTCTTCACGTGATGTGTTTTCTGTTATTTGGTACCGTTCTTATGGTTGGGATTCTCTGGGGTCACGATAATGACAAGCACATTTGCACTACTGCGAGGGATATTTATTGTATCTCGTCCTAATTCACCAAGACAAAATATGTATCTGTTAAAATTGGCACGTTCACAAAAACAAAACAAAAAAAAAAAATTAATACCTAAATTTTTACAGATGTAAAAAAAAGAAAATATATATTTTTACAAAAAATTTTCCATAAAAAAATTTCAAAAATAATTTCATTAATTTGTGAATAAGTTGAATAAGTCCCGAAAATTTCATAAAATTAAGTAAGTTGAGGTAACAGATGTAAAAAAAGAAAATATATATTTTTACCAAAATTTTCTAAAATAAATTTCAAAAATAATTTCATTAATCATACTTATTATAAAACCCAGGTTGTGTGTGTGTGTGTGTGTGTGTGTGTGTGTGTGTGTGTGTGTGTGTGTGTGTGTGTGTGTGTGTGTGTGTGTATTGGATCGGATTTCCTACATTTTTCAACCGATTTCAACAAAACTTCACAGGACTAGGTAAAATTACTTTGCGGTGGTTCTGACAGCGCCAAAAATTTGAAAAACACAATTGTTTTTGCACGAAATCAATTTGAAAACACGATTAAGAGCCATCGCTTTCGCGGAATGAAAGGGGGACAACTCATATCGTGTTATACTTACAAAACCCAGTTTGTGTATGTGTGTGTGTGTGTGTGTGTGTGTGTGTGTGTGTGTGTGTGTGTGTTATTTATATATGGGATCGGATTTCCTACATTTTTCAACCGATTTCAACAAAACTTCACTTTTTTTTGGCAGGTAGTGTTTTTTATTGTCTTGCACACTTTTTTCTTTATTTTTACATTCAGAATGTTTTAAAAATTCCATTTACAAGACAATTGTTTATAATAAAATTCTATTCAATCAGTAGACTCATAACGATTGAAAACAATGTTTTTGTTTGAGTTTGGGTTTGACCAATTTCTTAAAAAAACAAAAACAAAAAAAAAACTAATTAAGACATGCGTGTCCGTCAACCTTAAACAATAATCTTTGTCAATTTTATTTTTCAGTCTTTATGATGGTCGATACTTGATCTATCGCTTACTGTTACATCCCCGGGCAACGCTGGGCTCTACTGCTAGTTTGTGAATAATTCCTGAAAATTTCATTGAAATCCGACAACTATTTCATTTTTACAAGAATTTCTAAAACAATGAGTTTTTTACTGAAAAAAAAAAAAAAAAAAAAAAAAAATTCCCCACTAATCGTTGGTGAACAGCTGACGCAAGAAAAAAAAAACATATATCCCCATACTGTCCTTCTTATCTGTATACCTCCATCTTGACACAGTGGATAAAGGCGTTAGATCTAATGACAGAAAGACCCAACGAGTGTGAGTTCAATACCTGGTTAAGGCAGTGGAGAACTTGGTGAGGGGAGTTAACATGAGATAACTGATAACAGACATCCATTAAATGTGGAACTAGAACAGTCTAACCCAGCGAGCGAAATAAAGTGTTCAGTTCGACATTCCAACCAACGGCTGAAATTTTGTTATCAATATGGCAACAACGATAAAGACAATATGATGAACATTATTTTAAAAAAAAAAAAAAAAAAAAACGTATGGTTGCCTCGTCAAGGTAAATGTCTACTCAGCTCTAATATTTAACTCCATGCTGGGCGGGAGAAACAGAAGGCGTATTTAAAAGTATTTATGCGGAAGTTGACGTAACACATTCGAGCTCGGCTCGTCGATTTCTTCATTCGAGTCGCTAACCGCTGCGCACACATGCAATTCGCATGCATGTTGTCACTAATTTCATTGATCCAACTGTCAATCAACGAGAGTTTTGTTGAATCGCTTAAGCACTGCAACAAAACTGCTCGTTTTAAACTTGACCCTGAAATTTGCAAATAGAATTGTTGGAGAATGAGATAAAATGATTCGACGTTTCGTAAACATCTCAAAATAATAACGTGGTCCGCTGTCTTATCTCATTAAATAGAGTACATCTTGGAATAAAGCGTGCTTAGAATATTTTTCCCCACGCTAAATTAAGGAATATATTTATTTGGTTGTATTCGTCTGGCAACATATCAACACCTCTATGGGTTATTTTTTATGACAAAATTTAAATATTTTATACGCAATTTTATTTTTATTTTATTTTTAGAGATGATAATGTTTTAATCATGCAAGTCTTATTAATTAACGCATAATGGGGGGGGGCAGAAGAGGTGAATTCATACCTTTCCCGCGTAAGTTAACGTAACGAACCCAACGGGAATTGGAACTCGGCTCTCCGATTAAAACTTCTGAGCCATTATTCCTACCACCCACACATTCAAGCTTACAGCACCTGGTATTCCCAAGAGGTTACCCATCGAGGTACTGACTCGGCTTGCCGTTGCTTAACTTCGGTGTTTCAACGAGGGAAATATTTACGATATGTTCGATGAAACAAAGTTGAGAATTTAAATTTTTTTTATTAGGTTGGTGCAAAAATAATGACGTAAAGAATGTCGTTTTTTGACATTAATAAATACGTCAAAAAACGACATTATTACGGCATTATTTTTGCACCAACCTAATAAATTCATTTAAGTGGCGGGACTGGGAATTTCGACGTGGGCTAATGCTTAAAAGCTTGCTAGATCTATTACGACTGAGTAGTGAGTTCGATCCTCACTGGGCGTTCCATATTTTCAGCCTTGTGCTACATCTAAAGTACGCTCAGTAAATAATTTCGGGCACTTCGACCTGGTGCAATGTTTAGCAAGCTTGTCTAACTAGAACAGTTACGATTGACTTGTGAGTTGAATTCTCACTGAGTGCCCCATACATCCGGCCTTGTAGCAGATCGAAATTACCATGTAAGGAGTGGGGGAAATATGGAGTAACTTAGGGTTATTCTGTTTAAGTCAAAAAATAATCTCTTTTTCAAATATTTTTTTATCATTAACTTTAATAAACAACATATTTACTATTTTTGTTTCACTGTTCTTTGATATCTGTTAAAAAAACTTCATTATTACATACTTTCACAACCTTTTTTTTTGGTTTGGGGGATTATTTACATTATCCGGACTGTTACCATATTCACAACGTTTCGGCCGTTGTATTGTCCGGATTTCTTCAGGTGATTGGAATTTCGAACCGAACTCTTCATTTCGTCCACCGCGGTAGATTGTTCTAGTTCCACATGCCATGCCTCTTCCGGATATCTCAGTTATTAACCCTTTAACTCAACTCTCCAAGTTTGGTTCACATGTGTCCTCTGGGTGATGTGTCCCCAAGGATATATCGCCCAGTGGATAAAGACTTTTGTTAGATCCAATGACTAGACCCAAAGAGTTGTGGGTTCAATACCAGGCCACAGTAGTGGTGAACCTCAGGAATCCTCCTTATCTTCATTTCCCTCTACCGCCTCTTGTACTCTATAACACTGTACTATGAATTTTGGACCTTGTATTTAATATGCCTTAGTATAACAAACCAAGAGAGACAGGATAAGGTATGGAGTATTTATTGTGAAAATATTGCTGGAAAAGGCACGAAGAATCGACGTTACGGCGGTGCGAAAGTGACTGAAGCTGAGATGTCAGGCTAGGACAAATAACATTGCAAATTCGCTTTTGAATTTGGTCAGCAATGCCTAGATAACAGAAGCACAAGACCAGATGTGACAGCAATATTCAATATATGGAGGAATGGTAGACTTATAAATATGTAAAATGGATTCTGTCGAGAAAAAATTGTCTAGCACGACACATTGAACCAACTTTCCGAGCAACAGACCTATCAATTGATTCTATATAGTTATTCAACTTCATGTCAGGGGAAAACGTTAGATAGACAAGGTGTAATGAGTCAGTCCCCAGGGGTGGGGGTGGTGGGGGATTAGCATCAGCCATGTTGATTCAAGTAAAAACAGAAGGCAAAAGAAGAGAACTACTTACGGGCTAGTAATGACAATGGGAAGTTTGTTATTTCCGCATCGCAAAATGGATATTCGTCAGATTTCAAGATATTACAAATGACTTACCTGAAAAAAGAAAGAAAAATGACATAAATAAGCCGCTTTTGGGACACATCTTTTATAAAACTATAACATATATATATATATATATATATATATATATATATATATATATATATATATAGGTCTGCTCTACTGTTGTATTGAGCTCTTTTGTTAGTTGTTTACTCGTATCGGGTTTTTTCTTTGGGCTTCAAACCTGTATCTGTGCGATTTTTTTTCGACAGACTTTCATGTTTCTAGCTCTTTCTTTTTTAAAACCTTTTTTCCTCGAGATTGATTTGATTATTGGCAAATCAAAAATTGAAGGTTTTTCGAAACGAGTATATTTATTTATATATATATATATATATATATATAGGTAAATATATATATATATATATATATATATATATAAATATAAATATATATATATATATATATATAGGTAAATATACATATATATATACATATATATATATACTAGTATAAAACAGAAATATATTAACTGCATCCACTTGCAAAAAAGACTAAAAATAATGGAAGCTATAATAATAAAAAAGTAAAAGCCAACTCTTAAAAATATTAATTATGAACAAAGCCACAATGTGCTAACCGTATTCGGAAATTAAAAACATCACTACCACACACTAATACATACACAGAACACACACACTCTACTAAGCTGATAATCGAATAATCCTTGATAATGGCTAAAGGTATAGCCGAAAGCGCTCGGAAATACAAAACATTCGGACAGTTCTTACACACCCTTTGTCCAGAAAAGAAAGCTCTTGTCAGAACACAAGAAAAATTAAATAAAAAGCTCAACCATAGTACCTTGTCTGTCGTTTTTAATGAAACATGCATATATATATATATATATATATATATATATATATATATATATATATATATATATATAAAAGAAATATGTTGTAGTGGTTCCAACGAGAGAAAAGTATGTATATTAAAAAGAAGAGAAGAGAGGTGCCGCTAACGTTTTTGGTTGTAATGTGGATTTATTTAGAAAAAATATTATGCTTTGTTTTACATAATTTTACGACACGTGTTTCTGGTCTCGCGACCGTCTTCAGGTAAAAGTGGAGATTTCACATATTATTAAAAAATAATTTTTTTCTTCATGTTCAATGTGAAATATTCTCGATATGAGACATTTCTCTGTTTGTGTGTTGGTAATCCGAATTTCAATTCTCGAAAGAAATTTGCGGCACCTCTCTTCTCTTCTTTTTAATATACATACTTTTCTCTCGTTGGAACCACTACAACATATTTCTTTTTATATATATATATATATATATATATATATATATATATATATATATATACGTGCATATATATATATATATATATATATATATATATATATACATGTATATATATATATATATATATATATATATATATATATATATATAAGATAATCCTAAGGAGCCAGGCAAACCTACCTAGGTTTCACCTAAACGGGTCGTCAGGGTAATGCTGGCTCAACATTTCAACATGGAGAATTTTACCAACAGTGTTCTAGGTAACATCAACATACAAGTTGCCCAGAAGATCGTCCAACAAGGAACATCGCATATAATATGTATAGTGCTATAAATTCAATGACAATTCTCTTATAGGACCTAACCTCTGTCCACATTTCTGAGATGAGGTATTATGTACACTATTCACATTATTCGGACTATTGTCCTTATCTTTGTTGCCATATTTATCACAGTTGTACGCTCCGGCATTATTCAGGTGACTCAGGCTTTATTTCACTCGCTGGAGTAAACTGTTCTAGTTCCACGTGCCATGTATCATGACATCAGTTATCTCCTGTTAATTCACCTCTCCAAGTTCTCCACTGCCTTAACCAGGTATTGAACTCACAACTCTTTTGGTCCTGTCACTGGATATAACAAACGCCTTTATTCACTGCGCCATGTGTCTTTGGGGACATCGGTGTATGAATTTCTGGGACTTAGAAACTTAATGGCTTCATTGGAGAAATTGAAGAGGTGAATTTACAGGCGATAACTGATAACTAACATCCATTAAACATGGCACGTGGAACTAAAAGAGTCTACCCCCAGCGAGCGAAATAAATGGTTCAGTTCGACATTCCAACTACCTGAAGAAGGCCGGATTGTACAACGGCCGAAACGTTGTGATAAATATTGCAAGAAAGATGAGAACAATAGTCCGAATAATGTAAATAGAGGACTTAACATCTCACACTCGGGGATCCTCAAGGCCCTTGATGTCTACAAAATCTACCACCAATTGTGAATTTCTTATGTCATATGCAATTCTGTTATACATGTCTGCTCGCCCCGCATTTTAATAGTGTACTCCTGAGTAAAAACATAAAAATTCAATGTGGAATTTTTCAAGGAGATTCTATTTGTTCTATTCCTTTTCGGTTGGCATGAATTCCGTTATAAATATAGTTAAACAATACAAGATATTTAAAATGGATGCCTTGAAATTATATGCAAGAAATGATGATGAATTGGTAGAACTTTTAACAGAGTGCATCAAGCGAGTACGAGTAATAATGAAAGCCGAACTGAATTCGAAAAATATAATAGCGGCCATTTGCATTCTTGCGACCCCAGTTAGAGCGTATGGCTTCAGAATAATAAAATTGAATTCAAGAAAATTGATGCAAAAATTCACAAACTCGCATGCAATAAAATGCACTACCCTAAGGCAGATGTTGATTGTATCTACCAAGCAGGGAGGGGGGCATGATTCATCTGGAATTGTCTTATAAAATTCCAACAATGGGACTTTAATGAGTATCTTGCAGCAATACAAGATTGGATGTTACAACACGTAATGGAGCATGAAAAAAAGTAAATAAGCTTTATTCTGTATCAAAAGAAGTCTGTAAATATGCAAGAGAATTTCAGTTAAATCTTGAAAATAACGAAGTTGAGAAAACAGTCAGAAAATCAGCCAGAAAAATGAAACAGGAAGATAAAAAGTAAACTTAAAAAGCTAAGCTAAAAGCTGGAGAAGCCTCTATGTAGCCAGTTCCTTCTCCGAACTAAAAATCCTAATGTAGGTCTGTTCGCAACCCACTAGCGGCTAAGGAGTTCAGAACTGAAGGTTAAGACTGGAGGGTTTATTCTTGCTGAACAAACCAGAGCCTGCTTATACGCAGCTACCAAGCTAATATATTGTATAATAGTACCGTATTTTCCGGCTTACTTTTTTTCATAAAAAATACCCTGAAAAATACGTGTGCGTCTTCCATGACGAATATAAGGCAACGTCCAAGTTCAAGTAAACTTGGACGGTCGCCTAATTGGCTAATAATAGTACCGTATTTTCCGGTTTACAAGACACACATTTTTTCCCTAAAAAATACCTCGAAAAATACGTGTGAGTCTTTCAAGA